AATCCATTGAACTAAACACCCACCTCCAGCCCGCCACCAAGTGAGTTCATCTCTGTTTGAAGCCCCCCCCCACTTCACTATCCCATCCAAACCCATAACATTTGCTTTCTGGAGCGAAACGTATTAAGAGTGCGCCTTAACTTTAACGAAATGTCCACTGATTCAAGCTTAGCAAGACGAATATGAAATTCCAATTGTTAAGTAATAAGAAATCGTTTTTCTATGATGCTGTTTGGAAATGTATTTTATTTCGGACCTGTTAGTTTAATGTGTTAGTTTCAATCGCGTATTGTTTTAATAGTGAGTGATCGAACTGTATACTAAGTTCAAACTTAATCATTTTATTCTATTCCCCCACCTTACAAATCTTCTGCTTCCATACTAATTCTGATCCACAAAACTCTTACTCACAAATAGTTTTTTTTTCATTACACACACACACACACACACACACACACACACACACACACACACACACACACACATACATATATATATATATATATACATTTGGTAAGTGTTCCACTGTCGGGATGTCGGCTGACTAAACCAGTTACCCCATTCCATGTTCTCCACCGCCTTAACCAGGTATTGAACTCAAGGACACATGGCAGAGTGGATAAAGGCGTTAGTTAGATCCTGTGACAGGATGTTATGACAGAACCCAAAGAGTGTGAGTTCAATACCCGGTTAAGGCAGTGGAGAACTTTCAGAGGGAAATTAACAGGAGATAACTGACATCCATTAAACATGGCACGTGGAACTAGAACAGTCTACCCCAGTGAGCGAAATAAAGGGTTCAGTACGACATTCCAACCACCTGAAGAAGGCCGTAGCGTACAGCGGCTGAAACGTTGTAATAAATATGGCAACAAAGATGAGAACAATAGTCCGAATAATCTAAGAAATGAGTAGTCTAAAAATCAAGATCTTAGGTGTATATGAAATTAGGTGGCCATTCAATGGAGATTTCGTCAGTGACAATCACAGGATTATATATGCAGGCGGAGAGAAAAACGATAAAGGAGTAGGACTGATACTAGATCAGGAATTCAGGAAATGCGTTCTTAACGAAACTCATAATTAGTATTCTGATGAATAGAGCATGAAAGTGAATCAGGCCAGAGATAGGATTAAAACTGTGCGGGTTCGGTAAATACACCGCAACAAGGAACGTGATATTCATGCTCAATATGTTATCAGAAAGAACAATACAAATACAGAAGAACGTGCACCTGTGTTTTACAGACTGCGCAAAGGTGTTTCACAAAATACGCCACCCACAAAGATCTGTTAGAGCAGCTCAGAAACCTTGAAATATACGGGAACAACATCAGAATAATCCAAAACTTATATTGGCAACAATCCCCTTGCATAAATATAAAAACCGAGTTCAGCAGATATACAAAAAATAGAAAGGTGCGTAAGGCAATGATGTGTCTTCTCACCGGACTTATTCAACTTATACAGCGAGGCAATTCTGAGAGAACTGGAAATCCTACCGAGTTTCTACATTGATGGCCACAATCTTAACAACGTAAGATACGCGGATGACTAAAACTACAAAGCCTCCTACAGAAGGTAGCGAAGGAGAGCACGAAGAAGGGACTAAGCATAAACTACAAGAAGACAGAATGCATGGTTAACAGCAAATAGATGAGCCTGAAAAGCGATTTGCAAATCAGGCACACTAAAACTAAGCAGGTGCAGAAATTTAAACATCTGGGAAGTGTTCTGACAGAGAACGGTAAATGTGCCAAGCTGAGATCCGAAGACGCATTGGAATGGCCAAAGACACATTCCAAAAGCTAGACAGAATGAAACAAGAGGATTTCGTTGGTAACAAAGAAAAGAGTGCTGAACTACATTGTGATAACTGTCCTCCTTTTCAGCAGCGAATGTTCGGCGGTCTCCTCAGAGATGAAGAAGCCTCAAGGCAAGAGAGGTTTGGTTCTACAGAAGGATGCTAAGGATACCATGGACCGAACATGTGAGCAACGATGAGGTTTTTGCAAACAAAGAGGAAACTTATACTTATCATCAGGGAAGAGGCAGCTGGATTTTTTGGACACGTAATGAGAAAGGAAGGCTTGGAAAATCGGATACTCACAGGGCAGAGTGAAAGAGGGGCAAGGGAAAGCAACGCGTAGCAAGTGGATGGCAGAACAGGGTCTGGGAGAAATAAGAAAAAGACAAAACTTATTGAGAGCTACAAGGGACAGGAAGAAGTGGCGAGCCATGATCGCCTACATCCTAAAGGGACACGATACATAAAAGAAGAAGTGCTATCCTTGTTTGGTCAATATGGTTTGGTCAATGAGTTCTGAGGACTTCAAGATTGTAAATGGTCTAGTAAGAATTATTTCTCATATAAAAAATGGCTCTAAGATGACATTATTCATACTTGCAGAATAAATCTTCGAGAGACACTGAAAATAAGCGATTTACATATCTTAAGGTTGTTAAGGCACTGTAATTTGTCGAGAACATGGACACACACACACACACACACATATACGCAGAGACACAAAAGGCCTAACGCCATATTCCTTTTAGGTTACAGTAGCTGAACTCAGAAGAATCAATAATTTGTTTTGTAGAAGAATTCAGGGTGAAACTGTTTTTTTTTTATCAAAATGATAATTAATAAGGAAGGTTGTTTTAAGAATGAAAGGAGACAAGTGTATTGCAAGATTAAAAGTTGGTTTTACTTGCATATAAAACAGCTGGACGTTTTAATGCATCCTAAACCATCGATTGCTTAGAAATTGTTAACTGGTAAAGATAAAATATAAATGCACAAAAAGAAACTTATTTCGAACCGGACCAAATAACCAATAACAGGGAGAAATTTACGCGAACAATTGATGTATCAGCAAGCAATATGTTAAAAATATCTGAATCTGTCCGGCTGAAGTGCGATGTATCTAATATGCCAATGCTTTTACGCAGTTAAATATGGTATCTCAATTTCTTCCTTCTCAATTGTTAGCCTAACATTGTTGATCATCACGTAAAACCATCTCTTTTTTTCTCTCGTTTGGTCGCTAATAAAGCCGGCTTTTGTTGTTAATTCTTTAGAATGAGGATTTGTTGTTTTTCTTAAGGAAATTTGGTTTTATTCTTCACGAAATTGAAAACAATTGTTGGATAGCAAAGAAATGATCCCTCATTCTTTCTGTCTCCCTTCTTCATTTACTGATAGTCCCAAAAAATGACGAGAAGGATTCAGGGTTGGGGAAAGAACAGAATGAAAAAGAAAGAAGAAAATTGAATTAAGGACAAACATTGATTAATAACCAAAATCGGAAGTGAAAAGCAAATGAATGAGAAACGTTATTTTTCAGACAACATTTGTATGAAGAGATACTTAAAATCGTCTGAAAGACGGAAAAAGAAAAAAGAAAAGAATAAAATATATTAAAGGAAGGAAACAGGAAGTTGATATGATTATTAAAGAAATCAGCGTTCATTCAACTAGATTCAGTCTATTGAGAAAAAGGCAGACGTCTGTCTGGAGTACGTTTGATTGGATAAATCTTTTACTGTCGAAGTATGACGTCAGTTCAACAAAATGTTGTTGACTAAGAGGACACTGATCAGTGAAGAGAAGGAATTTGACACATTTTGACAATTTAAACGTGTAAAAAATGTATAGGGAACTTTGTATCTATATAATAGAAAGATAATAATATATGTTTGTTTACAAACACAACTTGTAATACACACACATATACAAACATACATATATATATATATATATATATATATATATATTTTTTTTTTTAAGACATTTTTTATGTTTATACGTTCTTTTTATAGATAAAAATATACAAGTAAATGCCGTTGTTTATAATAAACAGTATTAACAACATTTACCGGCCTGAATATTCGAGAAATTTTCATAGAAAATATGTGTCCTCCGACAGGAATCGAACCTGTATCCTATACGGAACCGTCATATAGCCTGACGTCCAGGACTATATACTCGATGGGACTCCTATGTCCTAAACGACAAAAGATAAATTTGATTAGGAGCCTGACACATAGGGCCTTAATGATTTGTTCGGGTGACACCTTGAAACATGAAATCAGTTGTTTAACTGAGATCTTTGTGAACAATGGTTATCCGTTGAACATTGTTCAATCGGTTATTCGGGATGAGACTGCCAGGTTCAACAAAATCAAACCTGCTTCAGTGGGTAAATGTCCGGTCTATCTTCGTTTACCGTGGTTGGGTAGGATTAGTGAATCCTTCGACAAGCGTATTTCATGTAGTTCACGTGAGTGTTATTTTGCAGCGAACGTTCGTGTTGTCTTTCAAACTAAGTCCGTACTTTAATCTATGAGTAAAGATGTTCTACCACTCCCAGTATTATAATTCTGTTATTTACCATTTCAAATGTAGTTGTGGATGCGATTACATAGGTAGAACGACACAGCGTTTGGACGTTAGAATTAAACAACACGTACCTGCTATAATACTGAATAAAAATTTTTCTTTGGGCGATACCATTCTTAACACGTATGGTTCTTCGATTGCGGATCACTTTATAAAGAATCCCACTCGTGCGATGGATTTCAGTGTGAACTGGTTTTCCATTTTGGCCAGTTCGCACTCATTATTCCATCTTAAGGTGTTGGAGTCGCTTTACATCAGGTCCAGACAACCTGCTCTTTGCAAACAAAGAGATTGTTTGCTTGGACTTGCTGTGTTGCGCTTCTAGCATCTTGCTTGGTAAAATTTTTTAATATTTTTTTCTCCCTGAGAATAGATAGCGATTGGCCCTTGATTTGAAGTCATTAACATTGTTGGATGCAGGGAAGCATACATATGAAATTCTGTTCTACATAGTAGATTTTAGAAGAAATTTCCCATTACATTTGGAATATAATGGAATTGAGAGTGATTCGACTCCATCGAAATGGCATGTTGTCTTCTTACTGTAAATGTCGGAATTGGTGAAAATGCAGTCCATCGAATTATTTGCCATGTGCAGCAATAGACTTGCAACATTGCATATGTGTGAAATAACTATCAATCTGTTCCTATCTATCTATCTATCTATCTATCTATCTATCTATCTATCTATCTATCTATCTATCTATCTATGACGTTGTATTCATATCTATCTATTGTTAGGAGAGTTAATAGCTAAGTACAAAAACACTTTTCCGTGTGATGCGTTTCGCCCTTTGTGACTTCATTGTACTTCCGTGATGTTTATATTCATGTAACTACACATGCACACGAAAGCGTAGAGGCTGAAATTTTCAACTTTTTGTTATAACTCACATCCTAGAGGTTATAATATTATGTCTCGCTTAGGCACTCGCAGTGACGTCTTTATAATTCTTTCCGATAACAAAGGACGATATTTATTCATTGTACAAAAATCTACAAATATGGCACAAGGCCAACATGGCGGATGAGAAATGCTGATCTTCATCTGCCTTATACTTAAACTTAGCTAGCCACAATCACTGACCCAAACAATCAAAACACAACATTTTTACTTACCATTCTTACTACAACCGCCAGAATACCTCAAAGTCTCTATGAAGTCCTAATTAATCCCCAAATGTAAAATTGGTCTGTGGGGTAGGGGAGGAAATAGTATAACCAACTTAATGAAAAGCCTAATGAATATTTACAATATGCATAATACTGCATATGCAAGGAACTATACAAAATGGTGTTAATCTGTCTATATTTCTGAGATGAGGTATTATGTACACTATTTACATTATTCGGACTATTGTTCTCATCTTTGTCGCCATATTCATTAAATCGTTTCGGGCTTTCAGTATCTATCTATATTTCTGAGATAAGGTATTATGTACACTATTTACATTATTCGGACTATTGTCCTCATCTTTGTCGCCATATTTATTACAACGTTTCGGCCCTTCAGTATCTGCCTATATTTCTGAGATGAGGTATTATGTACACTATTTACATTATTGTGGCAGAAATATCTGTTAGCTAGACGAAATTAATGCGGGACTTAAATGAATTAAAAAAACAATCATTCAGCCAAACACACTCACAACTGCACAGTCATTCCAACAACAACAATTAAGAAAGAACACGCTTGAAAAACGAAAGGTTTCTCACATCCACCAGAGAACTGATATTTTTGGTCACCTAACGGGCGAGAAGATGGGGAATTAAACCAATGAAAGTCTGGGCAAAAATAAAAGTGGCCAATGAGCATATCATCCCCTAGCAAAGTCTAATCAATCCACCTATTTTGGGCGGGGTTGCTAATGTTTAATACGGGGCTCCCAATATCTTGATGCCTAAACGGCATCAAATGCCACTATAAGTCCTATTCTTTCAATCGACAATTACGCACCAGCCTCACCCAACTTTTGCCAAATTCTGATGGAGGGAACTGTAGCCTTTCCGTCCTGATCTTGACTTTAATCTGATGCTTAAAGAACAAGATCAGATGGGAAGAGGTAAAGTTTATCGTTTCGATAGAATTTTCCTGTCCCATCGTCCATATCACGACTCGTAAGCACCGAATATGTTTACAGTGATCAGCTTTAGTCAACGGCGTTACCACATTGCTACAACCAATGTTGAATATACACTTAGTGGCGGACTTTCAGCAAAAGGGCGAATCCTCATCCTTAGCATTGTCAGTAATCTTCTTATTTGGAGTTCTCATTAGTACAATCCTTATTAATTAGACCGCTATCGGCCTCCATACTTTTGTTTATTCGTTTTCTTTTTTCTTTTTTTTTCAACCTCCAAACTATTAGTAGAATGTTGTTCTAAGTTTTTTCCTCCTTTATCAGGTGGGTTCTAGCTTAAAGCTGGGACCAAATTAAGTCTTTTTTTAAAAAAAAACAAAAACAAAAAACAAAAAAAAAAACAAAAAAACGACGATTGTCGGCCTTTTTGGTTTTTGAAATTTTTTTTAACGAATATTTTTTCCTTCTTTTTCAGGCAAAAAAGAGAGTAAGTGTGCTTTTTTTTCTGTGTAGGCGAAAGTAAAAAAGAATTACAGCAAAAAACATTAACTATCTATAACGGAGAAATAAAATAAGCAATGGACAAAACGAGAAATAAAAAGAAACAGTAAAAAAATACCACAATTGAACAAAGAGCGGGTGAAAAAAAATAAAATTAGTTTGATATGTCCCGGAAGGGATATATTTGTTCGAAGTAGCAAAGTGATTTTGGACTACTGTAACCGAGTAGAACAATCTAGCAGGTAACCGTAATGGAACTGGTCCTCGTCGTAGTGGTAGGCAATAGGTGAAGACAATAGGCGTAGTCCATGTACCTCCACATCAGTCTGTATTTATGGCTGACACCAGCCAATCATATTACTGTGAGGGGGAACCGGGGTGTATGCATATTCATTACATCAATAATGAAAAAAGGAAAAGAAAAAAGTTTGACGAGTGAAAATAAAAAGAAGTTTATTTTAACGTCACCAACAATAAAACAACACAAAAGGGGGCCTTTTAAATTAAATGAAAAATAACAAAATCAATACAAAACATTTAACAAGACTGAAAGGAATTAAGTTAAACACACGTGTATCCTAAAAAAAAAAAAGAAGTTCGCCTATAAAAAATACAAAATGGCCGAAATAAAAAGAAATTTGAGAAGCAAGTCTAGCGCATAAAAAATTAAAAATTAAACTGGGATAAAATGAAAAAGCTTGGGCTTAAAGCCGGAGAATAAAAAAAGAAAAAAAAATTGAACACAACAATATTAAAAGTAAGAAATGAAAAAAAAAATAAACAAAAACAAAAAAAGATTAGTAACAAATAAAAATAAAATAAAATGGCGTATTGCCGAGGTGTGAAAAAATAAAAAGTAAACTGAAAATAAAAAACAAAATGCAAAAATCGCAACAGATGTAGTCAAAGTAAAATAAATATGCCCAAAATAACTTTCAGTTTTTGAAAAAATAAAAGTAACGTGGATTCTAAAAGAATTATAATCTACGCAAAACTTAATTGGTTACACACAGAAAAAAAGAGTTTTGTCAACTGTAATCTGTAAGTATTAACGAACACTTGACTGATTCCAACGGACTGGTATTTACCCAGTCTTTCCACTGATAGTGACACAAGGTGGAGCCAAAGGTCAAAATTTACCCAGCCCCCGCAATCGTGGGATCGGGCACTTTGCATTGACTGTTTATTCTCAGCTGAGTCTCAATCCGCAGACAGAGCCTCGACTGTACTCTAACCGAAGACAGAGAACTTGACAATCGTGAGGCAGAGCCAGAAATAGCTAGCAGACTTCCCCGACTCACATTTAATTTATTTAAGGCGTCTTGCCTCATTCATTTGTGTTATTTACTCCACAACATTTCCTCATTTGAAGATTTTTATATTTTTCACTACTAAAAAAATTATTTTATTTTTTAGTATTCACCCCCTCCTCTTTTTGGTGAGTTCGCCAAAATACTGAACTTTTTATTTCTTTCATTTTGGGTCAACCACTTGTTTTTCAGTACGTATCTTTTTTTCCGGGCAAACATACTTGTACATTCAATGAATTCTTGGGGTGTTGGTACATCAAAAATATATATTATTTGCATAGGTTCTTTCTTTTTTCGACCCTTTCTTCAGTAAACCTTTTTCTTTAATGGATTCCAATGCCTTTTTGTGTTCCCATTTTTTCCAATTCGTAACCTTATTACACCATCTTCCTACACTTCTTTTCCTTTTTATATACTCTGAAAAACACTTTTTCGTCAATTTTGAAAAATGTTGTGCCTTTTTTGTTATTCATTCTTTATTCTTTTTTGAACTGGTAACAACTTGTCGAACACCGATTTAATTTTTCTTGCGATCATTAATTCTGCCGGTGACATGACTGTCGGTGTATTGGGATTCGGTGTATACTCTCAAGAATTTGTGTCAAAATCTATTCATCCCAAGCAAAAGCGGGATCGGGTACAGTAATGGTCTGTTTTTCTCAGCCGAGTCTCTATCCGAAGACTGAATACCGACTGAGTCATCCTCCGCCCGAAGATGGAGGTCTTGTTACTCTCTACCCGAAAACAGAGGTCATGTCTTATCGCGAGCCTAGGGCAGACTGCGACTGACTGGTATTTACTGGTCTCCCAACTACGGACTAGATGTGACGCAAAGTTGCGTTTACTGTGGAGAACCTGAGAGTTTCTACCTGGGACACTGGTAAAGGTAGCACAGATAGGCGGACTAGAAAACTGGACTTCACCCGACTCTGTGATGAGTACTCCGCCCAGCTAATTAATAGCATCCATCCCAAGGAGCAGGTCAAACCTCAATAACGTTGTGTCCTCGACCAAGACACTGACAGTGACGGGGTTACCGTTGTTGACAGGGAGTCTTATGTTTTCGACATCTGAGAGCGTTTCCATTAGCCGTTAGCATGTCCATGTTTTGTCCGTTCCGTAGAGCCAGTACCACTTCAGATAGTGAAGACTGTGCGTGAGGTTGTTAAACCAGAGAACTCCTATTCATCTCCTTCAGTAATCGTCCCGCCCCGGAGAAGCTCAAGATTAAAGACGCCTGCCACCGGGTCTTACCCTATGTGTTGGGGGCGGGGGTGAAGTGTAACGTAAGTGCGTTTCCTCTGTTACAAGTGGAAAGTTGAATTTTTGGTACAAATTTGATTGCTGAACTGTTGCCTTTTGGATTATTTAAACACGGATTTGCGATTGAACTGGCCTACAATTTTTTTTTACCGAACCTATTCGTTAATACTCAAACAAATCCTTTCAAAATTCTGTATTAATTTTAGCCTTTTAGATAATATTATTATTAGGTAAAAACTATATTTAGTAATCATAAATGGAAAAGCTTAATACAAATCATCAAACATTAATATATTTAAAAGAATTTTGAATTTGTTTTTATATAATTATGATCATTTTTGTAAGTACGGTTGACCATACACGACATTATCAGAAAATAAGTTCGATAAATATAGAAAATTTAAAGTAAATATTTCAAAAATTCAATAAAACAATGCATTACGGAGAATATTTTCCTATTTTTTTTAAAGATTACTGAGTAATTAGAAATTATATAAAAATGTGTATCACATCATTTTCTTAAATTATATTTCACAGATAAATTCTACTTAGAACAAC